ATTGATTTCACTGTTTTTCCATAAATAGAAGTTGGACAATAACAGTTTGGTGATGTGTTAAGTTAGTGTTGGAAGCACACGAGGCTCACGACTCGACGGGAAGATAGTCCACGCCGAGCTTTCAAGTTCTTCAGTGTGAATCGTTTTTTTCTCAGCAGAAAACTGTGCAACCGTACCTAAAACACTGGAAATATGGTGACAAGACACTCTCCTCTCTCTTTACGTGTTTGGTTCTCAGTGTTGAAGAGCACACATGACTTCTACATTTTAGGTTTTTTTTTTTGTTTGTACGTTTTTTGCAAGTTTAACAGGTACATTAAAACCACTGCATGTGGTCAAATTCAAGCTATTCTCCCATAAAGAAAAACATTTTCAGTTTCCCTCCCTGCCGCCCCTGAACAGGAGTCGAGCGGAAGTAGGAACTGAAGGCTCAGCGGCCTCCAGGTTTTCGAAGCAGTAGTGTCGCCGCACACGCCATCCCAACAGGATCTTCAGCAGGTTTGAAAAGAGTAAATACAGTTTGAGACGAGTTCCTCGTGTGAGATACTCTGCAGCTCCCAGTGTTGGGTTTGAAAAGGCAGGTTCTGTTGACTTATACTATGTTTTACAAGGAAAGCTGACACTACAAGCAAGGTCACAAAGCCTCGGTACAAACACTGACAGGCAGTGTAGTAGGCCTCGCCCGAAAACACAAATCTGTTGTTTTTGTTTTGTTTTTCACAAGTGTGCTAAACAGTAAGTGCTTTTCAATTTACAAAGATGCTTTACAAATACGCTTTTTGGCAAAGGAAAAAAAGGAAAAAAGAAAAGGAACAAATGTTGGAAGGAACTTAATTGTCCATGAGGAGGATAAACGTTCAAGTCCTTCGCCTCTTGTTGATCTTCGGGAGGTTCACGTACTTCTCTCAGTAGGACTAAGCGGTTGCCGAGCTCTGAGGTCGCAGCTGCACTTGCGCGCACACGTAACGCTGCACCTGAGCCTGAGCTGCATTATGACGATGTCGTTTCTGTCACGAGGCACCTTCAAATATTTGTTTTCAGCTGTACCGATAACTACAACAAAAAAACATTAAAGTGTAAAAACGAGCAAAAACGACAATGAAAAGAAGCTACGATAAAAAGAGATAAAATAAAGAACACCATCTTTGTGGCCTATAACAGCATACTGTACAAAGTTTGGATACATCCTCTTGGAATGGCAATAGTCTGTTGCTCAGGATGTCAAAGCCGAGCATCAAGTAGAGTTCTTGTGTTTTTCTTCTTTTTACGTTGGGGTCTTCATTGGTTGCGTGGTCGCCGCAGTCCAGCACCGGCAGTGTCCTCCTCTTCTCCGGTTGGCTGCGGCAGCAGAGGTGGAGTTTCTAGTGTCCGTTGCCTTGTGTCTCTACACTGGCTGTGGCGTTGTGGATCCAGTCCAGGATGATGAGGCTCATGCTGCCGATCATGACCACGAGGCCGCACACGAGGAAGGCGGTGGCCTGGGTAGAGGAAACAATTTCACATTTAGCTTATGTGTCCATCCACAGCGACCAAAGCCAACAATCAAATGTTTTTTTTCTCGAATGTATGTGCAGATAAGATGAACCAACTCCTTACCCCGATCTTCTGCACAGACTTCATAGACTCCTTCTTGACCAGTTTGATGTAGAAAGCCGACGGCAGGATGAAGATGAGCATGGCAGCAGCAGAGGCGCCTGTGTGCGGAAAGACATTTTTCGTATTTTAGTCACAGCATTTTTACATGTGATCTTTTGTTTCCTATGGCATAATCACACATGCACACACCGATGAAGCCGAAGATGTCCCTGATGGTGGGGACAAAGATGACCAGGGCGTTGGTGCCTCCCAGCAGGACGATGGTGATGATAATGTGGCGGACCCAGCTGAAGTCCTTGGAGCTGGACAGGTGCTGGTTGATGGAGGTACGAATCTACAGGGAGAGGGAGAAACTGAGGGGTTAACCAACATGGCCGACCGCATTCCGCCAACACCGGCTGGAATTCTTCGATCTTTGTCACTTACGGGGAAGAGCACCACAGGGACGGTGAGGGTGACGGCGGTCAGCACGGCCAGGCGGACGATGAGCAGGATGATGTCAGACTTGAAGAATTTGGAGTAGGTGTGCAGCAGCTCGGGCTCCACGCGTGCTGTGTGGACAGACAAGTTTAGAGAGGAAGCACTTCACAAGGTCACAGTTCAGTTCTACACTGTGTCTGTTATTAAAACTTTCTTTGACCACAGACTGACGGAATGAGGAAACAGGTGAGGCAAAGTTTTTAGTTCTTATCGACTCCTTTCTGTTCAGAGATAATTATCAGATGTTAGCCTGCTAACCTGTGAGATGCTATGATAAATGTCAGAGCAGCTAAATATGTTGACATTCTTTTGTTAGCATGCTAACATCTTTGACACTGTGATAAACCTGCTTGACGTGCTAGCATTGTTATTGTTATCAAATGTCCACAAGCTAACTTTTTTGCTAACTTGTTTTGTGCTGCTTATCAAATGTTAGCCTGCTAACCTGTGAGATGCTATGATAGTCATTACAGCAGCTAAAAATGTAAACCTGCTTAACGTGCTAGCATTGTTATTGTTTATTTTGAGTGATGTCCACAAGCTAACTTTTTTGCTAACTTGTTTTGTGTTTTGTGCTACTTAGCAAATGTTGGCATGCTAACCTGTTTAATGCTATGATAAACATTACTCCTGCTCAATGTTTTAGCATTGTCATCGTTAGCTAAAGCGCTGCTGTTCTTATGTACTCGGTGAAAGAGATGCTAACATGCTTTAGACTCTTGTGACACAGGTCAGAAAACATTAGCGTACTGAAAGTGTTTTTTTTGTCCCTGTAAATGTGAAATATTTAGCTCTGTTCATGACATGTGTGCTCGTGACACATCATTGCTTTCTGAGTTACATTAGATTTGTTGCCTCTACAACTTTAAATGCCTTTCTGTGAGATCGGCCTCATCGTCTGGCACCTTTTGTCGGCCAACTCCCACCAAACAGGTTAGCGGCAGACGTCACAGTGATTTCTCAATCTCTTGCTCCAAACTATTTGCAGAGCAGTCTGTCTGTCACTACTCTACGTCATGCTTTTACACAACCGTTTTGTTCTTCCAGGAACATTTCCCTACGTACGCTCAGATGTTCCAGCTATGACAAACAGGAACACAAACACGCTGGCACACTGGTCAGCTGCATCAGATAGGTTTTTTCGCACCCTTACGTAACAGACCTCCAGTCCTGTCCTGAGCGGTTTTTGTTTTTACTGTGTATTTAGTTTGGACCTGGAAGCTTTCTCTCTTAACTTTGGATTATTGATCCGCTCTGACATTTAGCATTCGGGGGACAATGACTGCTTGTGCACTCACACCGGTGTTAGAGCCAGCTCAACTAAATATGAATACATATGTTAGACACAATAAAACTTACAGTTGAATGTCAGATATCCGAAGAGGGCGGCGAGCAGATACATGATGAACATGGACAGGAAGGACACGTTGGCAACGCCCTGCATCTTTCTATGGGAACGGCTGTTTGGGAGAGAGGGGATGTTTAGACACAAGAACACAATCATCTCAGAGATAACTTCACAAGTGTTTAAACTGGGAACGTGCTGATAAGACAGCAGCTGTGGACCGTAGTTTGGAAGCACTCACTCTTTCAGCTCCTCGTACATGGGCAGGATGGCCGGGTGGCACACGAAGGCGAAGGTCAGGATGGGAACAGCGTAGACAGTCTGAGCGGGAAAAAAACGACACACATACATGTTACATAAGATTTTCCTACTTTTAATTTAAATCTAAACCCTCCAGATGTTTGCTTGTCAAAGATCTTCACCTGTGAGTTGAAGACAAAGTATTTGGGTGTGCAGGAGTCCTCGCTGTAGTCCACAGCGGTAGTGTTCATTTGGGCCACGGTGATGTTCAGTTTGCTTATGGTTTCGTTCAGATCATGGATATCAGGCAGAGGGCACATGATCTGGAACTTCTTGATGATCACCTGAAGGACAAGCCGGCAGAGGTCTTAATCAGCTAAAGCTGCAAACATTTTGGGCTGAACTTCAGTTTGTCTTTACTTTTCTTTTTTAAGCACCTTTGACATTGCATTTATCATGGTTGAACAAATACTCCACTGAGAGCAGGCTACCGTGAGAAATCAGTTTCGATGACAGTCAGGACAAATCCAGTTGGAAAATGTGCCAAAGGTGCAGAAAATGTTCAGTTTTGTATTTATTTATTGTGTTCTAGTGTTTTCTATCCCACTGTCCCATGAAGGAGCCATGAATTTTATGGAAAAACTGAACCGTGTTCTCTGACTCATCTAGAACAGCGGACTGATTCATGTGCCTAACAGACTGTGTAGGAAATATGTGTGTGCCAGTGTTTGTGTTTTACTCACCACAATCAGAAAAAACACCATGCAAAGCAGGGACAGACCACTGGTGTAACCAAGGTAACCTGGGGGGGAAGGCGAAACACACACACACATGAGCTTCTGTTTTTATGAGAGGCTTCTATTTTAAAACCGTGGAATGCTCTTTTTTCTCTCCTTTTATCACTTGACTTTGAGTCGTGAATATTTTAAGACTTCTTTTGAAGTTGCTGACAGACACGTGCAAGTGCGTCACAGACCCATATCCCAACCTACTTAAAAATGCATCTGTTTTCACAACACACACATACAGCTTACCCAAATTCTTCAGCAGCGAGAGGGGCAGGATAATGAACAGCGACACCAGCAGCACCAGGTAGTTTCCGTTAGTGTACCACTCCCTGGAACATAAGGAAGAACAATGCGTCATTGATAATAAGTCAATAACTCCTGTGTTAAGGGCGAGGCCTTAAATTCACATATCTTAATACGTAACAGTGATCATGTAACTGAGGATTTCTGTTGCTTTGTAACTTGTGTTGTGTAAACATAAACGTAACACGACAGATTTTACACAAACAGAGCTCAAAGTCTGAAACTGTTGAACTAACTAACTAACCGTAAACTGTTTTGACTTGGACTTTTGAAATTAAGTTCTAACTTAAGTTCTATCTTTTCTAGATTCATTTTTTTTTTTAAAGCTCATAAATATTTAATCCATCATGTTTTTTTAATCTAACCTTTTTTTTTTACCTCGCAATATTATAGTATGCAATGTACATTGTGTGTATTTAATGTTAGGTAGATGTCAGATTATACTTTATTTATGATTGGCTGTGCAACCCTGCAGCAGCAGTATATTAATTGGCTCTAAATCTGACAGCTCTATGCAGCAAACATCCCCTTTAATGTCCTCTCCTGTCAGAATGTTCTTTCACATCCTCTGATTTTCCTGCAGCGTCGGGCCTGATCAAACCTCTCGGCTGCTCCTCTGACGCGTGTTGTCACTTCTGAGCTTTACCACCATTTGCAAAAAAAGAAAACTGGCCTGTGCAGCAGGATGACTGCATCTCTTACAGAAATTGATGCAACAAAGCAGCTCTGAGGACCAAGACCACATAAATTTTTCAAACTCAAAGCGAGGTTGTGGTGAGCTCATTCCGCGCTCTGTCTCGCTGCGGCACGGGCTGCGTCTTCTAAAAGGGCTCTTTGAAGGGCCACATTAGGAGACAACAATGTCCTTTTAAAAATGTGCAGACTCCCCACCACCACCCTTCAACCCTCTGCTAACAGAAGGACAAAGACGCCTTCTCCAACATGCAGCACTTGAAAAACAAAAGAAAGCCAGTTTGCTTGATGCGCCGCTTCACCTTGAGTGCTTCTGTCATTTAAACTCAATTGTTCTGCTGGGATATAAACCCAAAACATTCTCAATCTCACCAAAGCACAGACTATTTGCAGTCCTGACTCTACAAACATCCCCTTTCAGATGGGTAAACTAGTTTGTATTGACATTTGGTTGAACAATCATTGCTGCAAAACAAATATTCTGCTGGTCAGAGCTGGATGGCTGCTAAAACGGAAGAAATGGTTCTTTGGCCAGAGGCCGATCTGGCAGATCTGCCAAACAGTTTCTTTGAAAACACTTGATGGAAAGTTAAAACTCTGTTGCAGAGTTAGGATTATTATGATTATTATTATGATGATCAGTCTGTGTTCAGCTGAGTGGGAAATATGTGTTATCAATAGTCAGTGTC